TAGGGGTATTGCTGTGGGTATTGCTGGTGGGAGTGCTGAAGGGTTGCTGGGGGTATTGCTGTGGGTATTGGCTGGTGGGAGTGCTGAAGGGTGTGCTGGGGGTATGCTGTGGGTATTGCTGGTGGGAGTGCTGAAGGATGTGCTGGGGGTACTGCTGTGGGTATTGCTGGTGGGAGTGCTGAAGGGTGTGCTGGAGGTATTGCTGCGGGTATTGCTGTGGGAGTGCTGAAGGGCATGTGCTGGGGGGTATTGCTGCGGGTATTGCTGGTGGGAGTGCTGAAGGGTGTGCTGGGGGTATTGCTGGTGGGAGTGCTGAAGGGTTTTTCTGGTGGTATTGCTGCGGGTATTGCTGGTGGGAGTGCTAAAGGGCATGTGCTGGGGGTATTGCTGCGGGTATTGCTGGTGGAAGTGCTGAAGGGTGTGCTGGGGGGTATTGCTGCGGGTATTGCTGGTGGGAGTGCTGAAGGTCATGTGCTGGGGGTTATTGCTGTGGGTATTGCTGGTGGGAGTGATGAAGGGTGTGCTGGGGGGGGTACTGCTGTGGGTATTGCTGGGTGGGAGTGCTGAAAGGTGTTCTGGGGGTATTGCTGTGGGTATTGCTGGTGGAAGTGCTGAAGGGTGTGCTGGGGGTATTGCTGTGGGTATTTGCTGGTGGGAGTGGTGAAGGGTTGCTGGGGTATTGCTGGGCGGGATCTGGGGGGAGTGCTGAAGGGTGTGCTGGGGGTATTGCTGCGGGTATTGCTGGTGGGAGTGCTGGGGTATTGGCTGTGTGTATTGCTGCGGGTTTTCTGGAGGGGTGCTGGGGAAATTTGCTGCAGTATTGCTGGTGGGAGTGCTGGGGGTATTGCTGCGGGTATTGCTGGTGGGAGTGCTGGAGAGAGTGCTGGGGGTATTGCTGGAGGGAGTGCTCCCCTCAATGAAGGGTCCTTGATGCTGGTGAGGGGCTCTTGATCTAGGGAACTGGATCTGTGCTCCAGTTCCCTGAATTAAGCCTGAATACCTTCCATCCCCCCACAGGCGCTGTATAATCCTACGGGTTTAGCGCTTCCCCTGATTATAATAATAATAATAATGGAGGGAATGCTAGTGGGAGTGCTGGTGAGAGTGTTGGAGGGAGTGCTGATGGGGGTGTTGGAGGGAGTGCTGGTGAGAGTGTTTAAGGAAGTGCTGATGGGAGTGTTGGAGGGAGTGCTGGAGGGAGTTTTGGAGGGAGTGCTGGTGAGAGTGTTGGAGGGAGTGCTGGTGGGTGTTGGAGGATGTTGGTGAGTGTTGGGAGGGAGTGCTGGTGGAAGTGTTGGAGGGAGTGCTTGGGAGTGTAGGAGGGAGTGCTGGTGAGTGTTCAGGGAGTTCGGTGGGAGTGCTGGGTGGGAGTGTTTGGAGGGAGTGCTGGTGAGTGTTGGAGGGAGTGCTGGTGGACTAATGTTGGGAGTGTTGGAGGGAGTGCTGGTGGGACTAATGTTTGGGAGTGTTGGAGGGAGTGCTGATGAGGTGTTGGAGGTAGTGCTGGTGGGAGTGTTGGAGGGAGTGCTGTGGGAGTGTTGGAGGGAGTGCTGGTGAGAGTGTTGGGAAAGGAGAGTGGTGGGAGTGTTAGAGTGTGTGGGAGTGTTGGAGGAGTGCTGGTGAGGGTGTTGGAGGGAGTGCTGGTGGGAGTGTTGGAGGGAGTGCTGATGAGAGTGTTGGAGGGAGTGCTGGTGGGAGTGTTGGAGAGTGTGGTGAGAGTGTTGGAGGAGTGCTGATGAGAGTGTTGGAGGTAGTGCTGGTGGGAGTGTTGGAGGGAGTGTTGAGGGAGTGCTGTGGAGTGTTGGAAGGAGTGCTGGTGGGAGTGTTAGAGTTTTAGTGGAGTGTTGGAGGGAGTGCTGGTGAGGTTTGGAGGGAGTGCTGGTGGGAGTGTTGGAGGGAGTGCTGATGAGAGTGTTGGAGGGAGTGCTGTGGGAGTGTTGGAGGGAGTGCTGATGAGAGTGTTGGAGGAGTGCTGATGAGAGTGTTGGAGGGAGTGCTGGTGGGGTGTTGGAGGGGTGTGTGAGAGTGTTGGAGGGAGTGCTGGTGAGGGTGTTGGAGGGAGTGCTGGTGAGGGTGTTGGAGGGAGTGCTGGTGAGGGTGTTGGAGGGAGTGCGGGTGAGGGTGTTGGAGGAGTGCTGGTGGGAGTGTTGGAGGGAGTGCTGGTGAGGGTGTTGGAGGGAGTGCTGGTGGGAGTGTTAGAGGGAGTGCTGAGAGTGTTGAGGGAGTGCTGGTGGGAGTGTTGGGGGGAGTGCTGGTGAGGGGTGTTGGAGGGAGTGCGGGTGGGAGTGTTGGAGGGAGTGCTGGTGAGGGTGTTGGAGGGAGTGCTAGTGGAGTGTTGGAGGGAGTGCTGATGAGAGTGTTGGAGGGAGTGCTGGTGGGAGTGTTGGAGGGAGTGCTGATGAGAGTGTTGGAGGGAGTACTGATGAGAGTGTTGGAGGGAGTACTGGTGAGGGTGTTGGAGGGAGTGCTGGTGAGGTGTTGGAGGGAGTGCTGGTGAGGGTGTTGGAGGAGTGCTGATGAGAGTGTTGGAGGAGTGCTGGTGAGGGTGTTGGAGGGAGTGCTGATGAGAGTGTTGGAGGGGAGTACTGGTGAGGTGTTGGGGGGAGTGCTGGTGAGAGTGTTGGAGGGAGTGCTGATGAGAGTGTTGGAGGGAGTGCTGGTGAGGGTGTTGGAGGGAGTGCTGGTGAGAGTGTTGGAGGGAGTGCTGATGAGAGTGTTGGAGGGAGTGCTGGTGAGGGTGTTGGAGGGAGTGCTGGTGAGAGTGTTGGAGGGAGTGCTGATGAGAGTGTTGGAGGGAGTGCTGGTGAGGGTGTTGGAGGGAGTGCTGGTGAGAGTGTTGGAGGGAGTGCTGGTGAGAGTGTTGGAGGGAGTGCTGGGAGTGTTGGAGGGAGTGCTGATGGAGGTGTTGGAGGGAGTGCTGGTGAGGGTGTTGGAGGGAGTGCTGGTGAGAGTGTTGGAGGGAGTGCTGGTGAGAGTGTTGGAGGGAGTGCTGGTGAGAGTGTTGGAGGGAGTGCTGGTGAGAGTGTTGGGGGGAGTGCTGATGAGAGTGTTGGAGGGAGTTGCTGGTAGAGTGTTGGAGGGAGTGCTGATGAGAGTGTTTGGAGGGAGTGCTGGTGAGGGTGTTGGAGGGAGTGCTGGTGAGAGTGTTGGAGGGAGTGCTGGTGAGAGGTTGGAGGGAGTGCTGATGAGAGTTTTGGAGGGAGTGCTGGTGAGAGTGTTGGAGGGAGTGCTGATGAGAGTGTTGGAGGGAGTGCTGGTGAGAGTGTTGGAGGGAGTGCTTATGAGAGTGTTGGAGGGAGTGCTGGTGAGGGTGTTGGAGGGAGTGCTGGTGAGAGTGTTGGAGGAGTGCTGGTGAGAGTGTTGGAGGGAGTGCTGATGAGGGGTGTTGGAGGGAGTGCTGGTGAGGGTGTTGGAGGGAGTAGCTGGTTGAGAGTGTTGGAGGGAGTGCTGGTGAGGGTGTTGGAGGGAGTGCTGGTGAGAGTGTTGGAGGGAGTGCTGGTGAGAGTGTTGGAGGGAGTGCTGGTGAGGGTGTTGGAGGGAGTGCTGGTGAGAGTGTTGGAGGGAGTGCTGATGAGAGTGTTGGAGGGAGTGCTGGTGAGAGTGTTGGAGGGAGTGCTGGTGAGAGTGTTGGAGGGAGTGCTGGTGAGAGTGTTGGAGGGAGTACTATTACAATATTTTGAAAGGCATGCTGATAAACACAGTACGCGCAGCATTTCGAGAAGCTACCAGTTACTACGCCACTCGCTCTCTCATATTATATACACCAGGATATATACATCGAGCGGTGTGTCTCTCAATGTATGTACACTAAGAGCTTGCTTTAATCCCTGTTTTAGAGATTAGAGTATTCTTGACTCGTGTTGAATGCTTTATGTGTGGACTAATAGATATCAGATTTTAAAAGTGTGGACTGGTAAGCCAGTGGAAGGCTTCTGTCAAATGGCCAAAACCTCCAGTGGCGGATGAACATTTGGCTAAGACCTGGATCAAGAAACACTTGTCATGTTTCTTGAAAAACCTACAGACTAATAACTCTCGTGTAGTCGCTAGACTTCAAACTCAACTCACTATTAACTATCCTGTATCCCATCCAAGTGTTTTAGCACTCTATACGAAGAAAAACATTTCTATTACCGTAGCTTTTCTGCACTACCTTTGTCTCAGTTTACAACTGCGGTGGTATTTGTTCGTCAGGAAACTACTGAATTAATATCGTAAATACGTTTTTAATTTTAAGTATTGTAATACCCGGTCTAATTTTAGCCTAAGTTTAGTCAGATTAACTTAACGTTGTTGAAATATTTGATTGCGGATGTTCCCAGTGTTTTTATGCCATGTTATTGCAACAATGAATGTACATTTAACATGTTTGGGTAAACCATCGTTGCTTCACAAGCCAAGATCGCCAACTAAGCCTAAAATGTACTACATAAACACAGGGCCTGTCATTATACATGTAAATAGATATCTCTTCATTGATATCTAAATAAAAATTGCGTTAACGTCTGCGGTAGCTACTGCACTCCGCGTATTAGAAACAGGAAAGTGCTGCTTTTATTGAGACCAGGAACACCTTTATCCTTCTGGAACGAACAGCTTCGTGGGGCGCTAGTTTATCCTGGTGTTGTGAACAGCCTCAGGGGGGCGCTAGTTTTTCCTGGTGGAACGAACACCTCCTTCACCAGGAAAACTGGTTAGTAAATCTGCATACGATTTTATATTTGCTGTCTGTTAGTGGTTCTGGGGATTGACGACTCTCTGAGATAGACACGTTCTAGTCGCTTGAGAAGGATTGATTAACATTATGTTGGAAAACCTGTACAGTCATAGATCCTCGCACAGTCACATGGCCGCCCTGCATTTCAGATCTATTGTTAGTTATTTTGGTCAGAGTTTCCTTGTCATGACGTTAAGTGTACGTCCCTCTGGGCGTGAAGCAAACCCAATATAACAGGAGGAGGGTTGTGATGGGGCAGTAGCGTGGGTGAGCTGGCTCAAGCTGGAGCTGGCTTTTTCAAGGATGGATATACCTAGGCCTCACTCTGTCTAGTGCATATTTAAAGTGCTCCTTAATTGCCGAGTCTGTTGGGTCCATCCTCGATATTCCAGGCTTCTCTTTCCCTCTCTGCCCGTAACTAATCCTCCCTCGAAAGATATTGAAGATACAATCTTCGGTCATCAAGAACTCACATCTATGAAAAGTCTACTTTCAGAGCCTTAGATCCTTAGTTCCTTGCTCAATGTTACAGATATATTAAGGATTATTTGGGTGGGCTATTATGTTCCTCAAACATATACAAAGCTTCTGGCTCTTCACTTACTGTCCTCAGCCCTTGAGATCTGGGGTTAGGGCATAAGTCTCTCATCGCACAGGGACGTTGGGGCCAGCACTCAGACCCTACAACAACCTCTTATGCCTCTGAATGATGGACCTGATATGGTGCACTATAGGTAAGATCCTGGCAAGTGTTAATACGAAAGCACCTGTGATTTTAGACTTCTTTAAAAAAAAGTAAAAAAAAAAAAAAATGTAATGTTATTTTTTCTCTAATCCATTTTTTTAGCTAAATTTATATTTATTTTCCCCTCATGGAAGGTTCCTTGATGTTGGTGAGGGGCTCTTGATTTAGGGAATTGGATCTGTGCTCCAGTTCCCCGAATTAAGCCTGAATGCCTTCCACATCCCCCCTCTACGGGTTTAGCGCTTCCCCCTTGATTATAATAATAATAATAATATATTTATTTCTTTACTGACACGTGAAATCGTATTAACAGGACTGTAAACAACTTGTGGAATGGACATAACCCTTGACAAGGCATGTCAGCAAGCCAAAGTTCGCCCGACAGTGGAGTGAGTGTTGGCCGGGTAATTTTAAGATTGCTTTGCCAAGGGTCGAGTCCTGTCATTTCCATGAGTTATTCTTTATTGTCAGTAAATTTAGTAATAACATTATGCTTTATCTTGTAGGAGTGTGTTTCAGGGAATATTTAGATGTATAATTGTGTTTGTGTTGCAGAAACCACTTTATTGAGAGTTGTTTGTGTATTGCAGGAACCGCGACGGGTCCGGTGGGGAGCGGCAGGATGGAGGCCGAGCGCTTCCTCCTCAAATGGAACAACCACCAGAGTAACCTGGTGACGGTGTTCGACCAGCTATACGAACAAGAAGCCTTCACTGACGTCACTCTCGCCTGCGACGGAAGAACCTTCGCTGCCCACAAAGTGATCCTATCGGCGTGCAGCCCGTACTTCCAGGCGCTGTTCTTGGGCAACCCCTGCAAGCATCCTATCATTTTCATGAGAGACGTACGAGCAGGAGACCTAGAGGCACTTCTCTCTTTCATGTACCGTGGGGAGATCAATGTCCACCAACATGATCTCTCCTCGTTTCTCAAAACGGCTGAGAGTCTCCAGATCAAAGGGCTCTCCGATTCCTCGGAGAGACACAAGGAGACCTCGAAGATCCTGGAAGCGATGGAACGGAAATTCTGCTCGCCAGGGTTGCAACAGTCACATCTCAACACCGCCACGCCTACCATCGGCAGCACCGCCATCGGGGTACCCATAATGCCCAACGTCAACAACACGGAGTCCCTCACACCCCCGGCTAAGAAATTCAAGTCTCTGGATGATCTGCCGAGGATTCTACCCAAAATGAAGCCTTTACCCACGCCCCCCGGGCTGGTGACGCCTGTGCCTGGGCTCCTCACGCCCATCACCCTCGCTGCTACTGTCATGAAGAACGCCGCCCATGCCGCCCACGTTGCTCACAACGCCCACATCAGTCCGCCCACGCCAGAGACCACCAATTCCTCCCCAACCACCGATTCCTCGACGCCGCCCAAGGACAGAAAGAAGGTCAGTAAGTTATTTTCTCCGTGATTCATGTACACTCTGGAGGTTTTACCAGTCACCTCGAGCTTATCATCAAACTGTTCGCTTCCAGCAGAAAAATAAACTTGTGGATAAAACTACACATGCGCCGCTCTTCAACCTGCCGGTGTATCTTCACCTAATAAAGATGGATACAGTCGCACATGCGCAGTATATCTTCATCTACACATTTAGTATCACCACTTATGTTCTCCGGCTAGAAAAATAATCATTTATCCAGTTTAAGCTTAGCATTAACTAACACAATCACATTCTAACCTCATGTCCACTAGTCTACTCATAGACCTATTAAAATGATAGACCTACTGATGCGATAGACTTATTAACAGTGATAGATCTATTAATATAGTCATTAATTAAAATGATAGACCTATTAACATGATAGATATGTTAATATCATAGACCTGTTAATACCATAGACCTATTAATATCATAGCCCTATTATAATGATAGACCTATTAAAATGGTAGACCTATTAAAAATCTCATATGCTAACAAGACAACATTCGAGTTATGACATTTGATTGAGAATACGTTTCGACCACCAGGACTTAAGTGCTCAGTCTGGTGGGCGAAATTTTGCAGTAGAACGCCATAAAGTTCATACTGTACCTTACTAATATACAGTCATACTGTACCTTACTAATATACAGTCATACTGTACCTTACTAATATACAGTCATACTGTACCTTACTAATATACAGTCATACTGTACCTTACTAATATACAGTCATACTGTACCTTACTAATATACAGTCATACTGTACCTTACTAATATACAGTCATACTGTACCTTACTAATATACAGTCATACTGTACCTTACTAATATACAGTCATACTGTACCTTACTAACATACAGTCGTGCTACGGGATTGTTGAGCAGTCAAGACGAATATTCTCGAGTTTTTCATGTTTATCTTTGAATCTTTGATGGGTTTGGCGGCCTGGTCTCTGACCGGCCAGGCTGTTGGTGGGGGCACAGAGTGCTGTAGGCGACGGAAAGAGCTTGGTCATCTGTCGCAATGTAGTCTGCAGTGTCGTTAAGCTTAGTGCACTACTGTGTTGCATTACGAAAGATGAGCTGTCAACCAGTGTTAACGTGAGCGTTGTTGTGTCATCTGACGGTGTCACATCTCGTTACCTCCCACCAGGTGTCACACCGTCTCACCAGATGTCACACCGTGCCACCACCAGGTGTCACACCGTGTCACCACCAGGTGTCACACCGTGTCACCACCAGGTGTCACACCGTCTCACCACCAGGTGTCACACCGTCTCACCAGATGTCACACCGTGCCACCACCAGGTGTCACACCGTGTCACCAAGTGTCACACTGTCACCTCACCAGGTCACACCATGTTACCACCAGGTGTCGCACCGTGTCACCTTCGTGTCACACTATGTCATCTCTCGCCAGGTCACACCATGTTACCGCCAGGTGTCACACGGTGTCACCATCAAGTGTCACACTATGTCATCTCACCACGTCACACCATGTCACCACCAGGTGTCACACCGTGTCACTGTCAAGTGTCACACCACGTCACCTCTCACCAGGTCACACCATGTCACCACCAGGTGTCACCATCAAGTGTCACACTACGTCACCTCTTACCAAGTCACACCATGTCAGCACCAGGTGTCACACCGTGTCACCAAATGCCACAATGGGTCACCTCTCACCAGGTCACACCATGTTACCACTAGGTGTCACATGTCACCACTAGGTGTCACACCGTGTTACCATCAAGTGTCACACTATGTCACCTCTCACCAGGTCACACCATGTCACCAGGTGTCACACCGTGTCACCAAGAGTGTCACACTATGTCACCTCTCACCAGGTCACACCATGTTACCTCCAGGGGTCACACCGTGTCACATTCAAGTGTCACACTATGTCACCTCTTACCAGATCACACCATGTCACCACCGGGTGTCACACCGTGTCACCATCAAGTGTCACACTACGTCACCTCACCAGGTCACACCATGTTAACACCAGGTGTCACACCGTGTCACCATCAAGTGTCACACTACGTCACCTCTCATCAGGTCACACCATGTTACCACCAGGCGTCACACCGTGTCACCATCAAGTGTCACACTATGTCACATCTCACCAGGTCACACCATGTTACCACCAGGCGTCACACCGTGTCACCATCAAGTGTCACACTGTCACCTCTCACCAGGTCACACCATGTTACCACTAGGTGTCACACCATGTCACCACCAGGTGTCACGCCGTGTCACCATCAAGTGTCACACTATATCACCTCTCACTGGGTCACACCGTGTCACCACCAGGTGTCACACCGTGTCACCATCAAGTTTCACACTACGTCACCTCTCACCAGGTCACACCATATCACCACCAGGTGTCACACCGTGTCACCATCAAGTGTCACACTATGTCACCTCTCACTAGGTCACACCATGTTACCTCCAGGTGTCACACCGTGTCACATTCAAGTGTCACACTATGTCACCTCTCACCAGGTCACACCATGTCACCACCAGGTGTCACACCGTGTCACCATCAAGTGTCACACTACGTCACCTCACCAGGTCACACCATGTCACCACCAGGTGTCACACCGTGTCACCATCGTGTCACTATGTCACCTCACCAGGTCACACCATGTTACCACTAGGTGTCACACCATGTCACCAGGTGTCACACCGTGTCACCATCAAGTGTCACACTGTCACCTCACCGGGTCACACCATGTCACCACCAGGTGTCACTATCAAGTGTCACACTACGTCACCTCTCACCAGGTTACACCATGTCACCACCAGGTGTCACACCGTGTCACCATCAAGTGTCACACTACGTCACCTCACCAGGTCACACTATGTCACCACCAGGTGTCACACCGTGTCACCATCACGTGTCACACTATGTCACCTCACCGGGTCACACCATGTCACCACCAGGTGTCACACCGTGCCACCATCAAGTGTCACACTACGTCACCTCACCAGGTCACACTGTCACCACCAGGTGTCACACCGTGTCACCATCAAGTGTCACACTACGTCACCTCTCACCAGGTCACACCATGTCACCACCAGGTGTCACACCGTGTCACCATCAAGTGTCACACTACGTCACCTCTCACCAGGTCATACTATGTCACCACCAGGTGTCACACCGTGTCACCATCAAGTGTCACATGTCACCTCTCACCAGGTCACACTCCGGGTCACACCTACACAGAAAAGTGTTCACCAGTGTGATAAAACTAGGAGATTCTAGACACAAGATGTCATCTCTAAATCCGTTGTAGCTTTCTCTTATTTCTTTCAAGTTGGTAAGACAGTCTCCATTTGTAGTGCCTTAGCCAGCATGGTAGTCACTGATATTAGGCTCTAGTCTGGTGCTTCCTGGACATTTACTTTATTGTCTATAGGGATTATATTTGTGTTTTCTAGCCGTCTGGCAGTTGCCCTGCGTCTGTCAGCTTACTCTCCCCCAGATATAATAGTAATAATAATACAATAATAATAATACAATAATAATAATAATACAATAATAATAATAATACAATAATAATAACAATAATAATAATAATAAAAGTAATAATAAAAGGGGCTGGGTTTCTGGGAGGGGCTGGGTTTGATTGGTGTCAAAGGGTACGGGAGTTATTTCTTGAGTAGCTTTAGGTAGATGTCGTTTTGATAAGGACCTGCCTCGTATGGGCCAGTAGGCCTTCTGCAGTGTTCCTACATTCTTATGTTCTTATGTTCTTATAATAATAATAATAATAATGTGTCAACGTGTATATCGTGGGTAAAGAGTTACACAGTTTGTGTTGGTCTCAGTACCCAGGGTGATAGTCTGGTTCTGTTCCTTACATCACATCCAGATTGTTTACAACCTTTCACTTTTTCCCTCATTGTTGAAATTTCTTGTAATCTTTGCTGCTCATGCCTTTCTCCTCCTCCTCCTGGTTTTTCCTCCGGTTCCTTAGTGAGAGCTTCTTTGAACCTTCTGTTCTGTTCTTCTCGTGTTCTCCTGCCAGCGTTGGTAGTTCACCTCTCTCCATCAGTCTTATTACCTGGTTAATACTGTACAATAATGGCTGCGGCTCAATTTTAGTCTTACTTGCTGTATTATTTTTAAATGGTCTTTCTGCGTCGCTTACGTACGTGTGTGTGTGTGTGTACTCACCTATTTGTGGTTGCAGGGGTCGAGTCATAGCTCCTGGCCCCGCCTCTTCGCTGATTGCTACTAGGTCCTCTCTCTCCCTGCCCCATGAGTTCTATCATACCTCGCCTTAAAACTATGTATGGTTCCCGCCTCCACTACGTCACTCTCTAGGCTATTCCACGGCCTGACCACTCTATGACTGAAGAAATACTTCCTAACATCCCTTTGATTCATCTGAGTCTTCAACTTCCAATTGTGACCTCTTGTGTCTGTGTCCCTTCTCTGGAACATCCCGTCTTTGTCCACCTTGTCTATTCCGCGCAGTATTTTATATGTCGTTATCATGTCTCCCCTGACCCTCCTGTCCTCCAGTGTCGTCAGGCCGATTTCCCTCAACCTTTCTTCGTAGGACAAACCCCGTAGCTCTGGGACTAGTCTTGTTGCAAACCTTTGCACTTTCTCTAATTTCTTGACGTGCTTGACTAGGTGTGGATTCCAAACTGGTGCAGCATACTCCAGTATGGGCCTGACGTAAATGGTATATAGAGTCTTAAACGAATCCTTACTGAGGTATCGGAACGCTATCCGTAGTTTTGCCAGGCGCCCGTATGCTGCAGCAGTTATCTGATTGATGTGCGCCTCAGGAGATATGCTTGGTGATATAAACACAAATGCAGTATAATGTGATCCTTTATTGACTACGTTTCGCCCACACAGTGGGCTTTTTCAAGTCACAAACAGAACTACCTGGGGTGGAAGGAACGCGAGTATTTATAGTCCGGCTGAGGTCAGGTGAAGAATG